AAAAAAGGGAAAATTTACAATTATCTTAATACCTACTGTATCCATCTCTCCCAATACTCTATCTGAACCTTATTGAGTTATTGGTAATACTTGGACATGAAATTGTGCAAATATGGTTAAAATATAAAGCACATTCTATCAAGAGTTCTAATTGAATATCAATTAAGCAAGAATATAATAATATATATATTATATATACATGCAATATAATGTGGCAGTCAAACCAACTGTACATTTTCGACTTGCATACAAAATCTAACCTCATATATTTATTTTTAGGCCTAAACAAGGCTTTTATATTTTGCCTAACTTGCAAAGTCTGTACTTTAAACTTTCAAACTCTGCCAATAACACTGCACTTTAAACATGCCCATTTACTTATCTGTGATAATGCAAGCTTATTCATCTGTACACATGCAAAGTGATACCAAAGATGACAATAATCACATCCAATGCTTTGATCCCCATATTTCTGTATGCTGTGTCGATAGTCAATACAAAACCTATTACTGCCATCTTTCTTTTTGACAATTACAACTGGAGCAGAGTAAGGTGACTCGGACGGCATTATCACACCCATTTCCAACATCTTCCCAACTTCATCTTGGATTGTCGCCTTCATACTGTAGGGTATACTATGACTCGTAGCCCTGACTGGTTCATCTGTCAAAGTAGTTATGTCGTGTTCTCCCAGGTTGGTTTTCCCCGGAACATCTGTAAGGACGTCTTCAAATTCCTCTAACATTTCCTTGACATCTGTCTTCTGTTCCACACCGAGTAATTCTGATACCAGTACATCTTTAGTAGTTTCAGATCTTATTGGTCCTGGCGAGGTAACAATCGCGTCTTCGAGAATCTCTTCGTTCTCATTGCTGTCTTCCTCCTCAATGACTGCAGCACAAGTGACTGACAGAACACCTGGATCATTTCTGACGACACCGTTACCATTCCTGTCCACATATAGTCGCAATAGGTTTGCGTGGTAAGTCTTAGACTTTCCGTCGACTACAACTTTGTAGTCCATAGACCCCTTTCTCTCCTCAATTACATATGGTCCTTTCCACTGCATTAACAACTTGTTCCTCTTTGTTGGCAGAAGCACCAGCACCTTTTGCCCAGGATTCATCTTTCTGTCTTTCGCCTTCTTGTTATAGTACATTGCTTGACGAGTTCTGGCTGACTTCAATTGCTGCTGAGCCATCTTGCATGTCTCTTCCAAACGCTCTTTCAGATCAATAACATATTGATAAGTGGTCTTTGTATCAGGATCAGGAATATCCTTGGTCAATAGTTCCCTGAGAATCATCATTGGGCCTCTTACCTTTCGTCCGTATAACAACTCAAACGGAGAAAATCCAAGGCTCTCCTGCGTCACTTCACGATAAGCAAACAATAAAGCGTTGATATACTTGTCCCAATCACGAGGTCTTTCGGAACACATCCTACGAAGCATTTGCTTGAGAGTGCCATTAAATCGTTCAACAAGTCCATTGCACATCGGATGGTACGGCGTTGTAGTTAACTGACGAATAGACAACAAACGGCTGACTTCTCGCATCAAATCGGAAGTGAATTGTGAGCCCTTAACTGTCAGCACTTCTTGAGGAATTCCAACCCGACTGTAGACATCAACTAAGGCCTCTGCAACACGTTCAGTTTCAATGCTCTTCAATGGAACTGCTTCAGGATATCGCATCGCATAGTCGACTATGGTGAGTATGTAACGGTTACCTCTTTCAGTTACAGGATCCAATGGTCCAGCTATGTCAATGGCTACACGTTGGAACGGAGTGTCAATCAATGGCATTGATCCAATTGGCACTTTCCCAACCTTTCCCTTCGGAAATGTTCTCTGGCATGTGTCACAAGATCGGCAATATCTCGTCACATCGGTCGTCATTCCTGGCCAGAAAAATTCTGAGGTTATCCTTTCCAATGTTCTCTTCGCTCCCATATGACCGGCCATCATAGATTCATGAGCCAACTGAAGAACTGTCGGTCTGTATGCTGTCGGAACCACCAGTTGCTTGAACAACTGTCCATTTGCACAAGATGGGCTCTTGAACTCTCTAAACAACAATCCACGTGATACATAGAAACGCGATTGCCCTCCATCAGAACGATCCTTCGTGCTTCCCTTCTTCGCCAATTCCCAAAGCTTCTTCAAACTATCATCTCCTTCTTGAGCACTTTTGATATCTGTTGGCGATCCTATGTCCTTCACACTTGGCACCTTAAGTGGACGATAGGGCTTTTCTTCTTTCTGCTTCCGTGTTCTGGTCTGTACCGCAAGCGCGTCCAACACTTCGTCTCGTTTCCAGGTGTTGTCTGGGTCGTATGGCTTCCTAACTCCCTTGACATTACCAAGTATCAAATCATATACTGGGGCATCCATACACCAAGCACGAACTCTACCCTTGAAGTAAGGTGTATCAACAACTGGGTAAGCAATATGAACGATGAGTTTCTGTCCGTTGGCTAACACACATGTCTCCATTTCACTAGTAAGATCCTCGTCTCCTACCAGGCATGTCTTGACAATAGAACGCTCACAACCAGAGTCCCTCAAAACTGACACCGGATGAATACCAACAAATCCCTGCACAACAGGCATTTCTGTCGTTTCACTACATGAAGCAATTGCATACCTGTCTTCGGTCTCAGCAATCTTTGCTTTGTCAACCACCTTAGTAGTTTCGGCCTTCTTGCCTTTCTTTTCCCCTTTTGATGACACACAGTTTGCCTGATTCTTCTTGTTTGTCTCTGTGGACATCTGAAAGAAAGATGCTCAGTTTTCTGGCAAATGTAACAATGTTTCACCAACCCTGTATTACTTTGTTTGTCCCTCGATCCCGTCTCAGCTGAAGTCTTACTTGAATTACTAACCGAGTGTCCCTGAGGTTGACCACCACTGGATGATGACTTATGCCCTCCATACCTCGGCCTTGCTAAACTGAATGCATCACCTCTTGCTTCAGCGTACTGATAAGCAAGTTTGGACATCTCTCCTATAGACTTTGGAATCCTCTCCTTCAGAAACAAAGTAAGGTCGTTCCCACAAGCACGAATAAATTGATCCCGAATCATCAAATCCTTAAGACCTTCAAAGGTTTTCTCAGTTCCCGCCATCTCTAGTCATCGCTGAAAGTAACTCTCTAATCGGAAAGCAAATTGGCTAAAGGTTTCGCCTTTTTCCGGTCTTCCGTCTAGAAAACGATTTCGGAAACCTTGCTCGGTCATCTCGAATCTCTTAAGTAGAGCACCCTTAAGTACATCGTAATCCATACTCTGGTCAAGAGGAAGTCTTGAAAATACATCTAAGGCTCTTCCTTTTAGAAGTACACTAAGGTTGGTTGCCCACTCTCTGTTCTTGTCCCAACTTTGCGTTGTCGCGTACCGCTCAAATCTTTGCAAATACGAGTCTATGTTGTCCTTACCTTCCTCAAAAGAAGGAAGTTTAGGCCCCTTAGCCACATGTGATGGATGAGGAGTTACTGGTGGTGTTCCATCTCCTTGTTTGCTCTTCCTTTCTAGAAGCTGCATCTGTCGCTCATGCTCTCTTATAGCTCTGGCTTCTCTTTCCTTTTCTAAATCTGCCTGCATCTTCAACATGTTCAGCTCATGTTCCATTTCACCTTGGGCCTTTATCAAGTATCTCTGCTTCTCCCTCTCATCACGTTCCCTGGCTTGCTCGTTGAGAATATACTCCTGAAGTTCTTTTCCTGTCAATTCTAGTTCCCCTCCACGATCCTTCAGTTCTCGAATGGAAGACATGATGAAACAATAGTGCAATATACAACTTACCACTATCCAACGACTCAAATAGCAAACGTATGATGATCTAATAATCAATATCTAAAATAAAATTCTATTTTGGAAATTTAAAGGACACTTACCTTTATAACAGCAGTATCCATGTGTACTAACACCTAGTTTAGTCTCTATAAAGCTGAAAGAAAAACGAAACAAAAAAACTCTCACAGATTCTCTCTCAGAATACACAACACAAATCCTCACACAACTACAAACAAAATCATCCCACCGCTGCCACCAAAATTGTTAACGTATGCTGAACTATAAATTCATTTGCAATTGATAACAAATATACATTTATTTACAATATACAATATCTATATAAGCATACTCTTTCGCACTCACTGATAACTCTCATACAATTCTACATTGGACATATATATTATGATTTACTTACATCTATAAATAGATAAATATATATATTATATTACACCTAAATCCCTAAATCTATAATATAATGTATAGTCTTTGTAGCTTCCCACACGAACAGATCACAAAGTTCCGTTAATGTTAAGTTCAATCCCGTCTTCTGGCAAACACAATCAGTAGCCAAACACTCTAGGAATGTCCTCCTGGTCAACTGGCAGATGACATCTATGGCTGAACTGTATCTCAGCTGCTGAAGTCACAGTTGCTGTGTCGGAGTTCAACTCCACTCAACTATTACCGGGCCTCCATACCACAGTATGTCACATCATGCTCTCGGCCTCCATAATAGAGTACTATGTCTCCATATCTAGGGAAAATATCTACACGTTCCCTCTCTGGATAATCATATCCATATGTATAAGTCAGTTCATAAAACTGCTGTCTCAGTGCCTCGTAGGTGGAAAACATGGACAATAACACCGTCGGCCATTACGGGTTTCCATACTTTTGTCCTCAGACAAAACTGACAGGTCTCTCACTGGGAAATAAGCTACAAAATATAAATAACACTAGTAACTACATAATTCTACACTATCATGTTACATATCTATAATATACGCTTTAAACATATTACTTATACAACATTCTGCAACATGCGTAAACACACCACGTCGCTCACTCATCTATGCTCAATCGTATATATTAATGACCACACTAACATTGATATATTATTACATTTGTATAATATCATTGTGACTTTGTTTATTATAAATAAATAAGCCCCAATGATCCTAATTCAATATCTAAACAACTACCACACAAACCCATTCGCTCTCACTGCGCTCCGTACAATTTCGCACCTGTTTACTATTTGGAAAATACCGTTTATTACACGATCAAACATTCACAGAATCAACAATATAACTCAGGAGATACACACAGATCTATCGATGATTAAAATATAACTTACCGTGAGCTGTATTTCACGCTAACTCCCGAATACTTCACAATAACAGAAGCAGTAATGAAACACAATGGTCACGCCATTACACCTGCCTTTCACACCTGTCCAAACAACTCTGCGCGTGCCCAGGTAAATATAAAGTTCGCGCGCTTTTCTTTACCCATGAAATACAAATACCAATAACCTACCTTTCCTATTTAATACTCGATCATACTTACCGAATGGAATATAAAGTAACCTCAAATGTCGATATGTGACAGCCACCAACTATAGGATCATGATATCACATACAGGTTATAACCACCAAATAAAGGATCATGATATCACATAAAGGTTATAGCCACCAAAAAAGGATCATGATATCAGATAAAGGTTATAGCCACCAAATATAGGATCATGATATCACATACAGGTTATAGCCACCAAATATAGGATCGTGATATCACATACAGGTTATAACCACCAAATGTATGATCATGATATCACATAAAGGTTATAGCCACCAAATATAGGATCATGGTATCACATAAAGGTGATCAGCACAAAATACAGGATTATGATATATAATAAATATGATAACCACCAAGTATAGGATTATAATTTATCATCTGTATACTACTTTATACAACCTACCTGGAGCATGATTCATTTATTATCAGGGGTTGTCAGTATGAGAAGAAGTTGAGAACGACTTGCGAACAACTTGAGAAGAACTTGAGAACGGATTTTCCCATTCCCCAGCACTTGGGAACGTATTTTCTCAAAAACGAATGTCTGCTCGTGCCAGATGACACCCGAAACTGGAAGTAATGTCAACACAAAAGTGATCCGCGTAAGAAAATAGTCCGTCATAAACATATCAATACAAAGTTACGGAAAAATATTGTGAGAATAACAACACCATTTCATGTGCTAATGTGCATATTGCAAAGCCAGTGACAATAGGATTGTTTCAAACATATTTTTTTTCTGCATAGTTTCCTTTGTATTCCTACTTGCAAAACTTTTACTTGTTTACGTTTGTCACAGGCGATCGGTGACCATTTAGCTTAGTAATCATTTGGAAAACATGGTAATTTTTAAATGGAGAAATATATAAGGTAGTAGTATAGAGATGAAAAACAGTTTATCAAACAGTATGTCTATCATACAGTATTTTCAGTATTTATCATTCGAACAATTTTATCATCGCTCGCATCTAGATGAAAATCTCGATTCCACCTGCGGTAGCCTCTCGATTTTATCCACGTGCTCGCGTTGAGAAAATTGTTCTCATGACAAACCCTGAAAATACAGTGTGATAATCTATAAATTTAATAAATATGATAACCACCGAACGTGTTTTCTCAAAAAGGGAATAGCAAACAATTACAGTATCGTGATATCTCAGAAAGGTTATAACCTTGAAATATATAATCATGATATCTCATAAAGCGGATAGCCACCAAATATGTGATCATAAAAGGGGAAGCCACCACTATAATAACCATGCCACACAGTTAATATCATATCGTGATTCCGCTCAGAAACTCCTGCCCAGTTGATGACAGTTTTGAAATTGTCTACGATAATAAGAAGGATTTAACGAGGTTAAGCTTAGTTTAGCATTGGTCCAGTGATAGTCGCATGCAGATAATATTACGGTTCAGAAATATGAAGAAATTATGCAAATTCATATATAAGTTTTTGGGCAATAACACTTACAGAAACACTTTTTGTGAACAATGTATAGCATACTTTAAAAACATGTATTTTATGATAAACTATATTTTGTATTGAAAGGATAAAACGAAATTACCTTCGTAGATGGCTTGGTATCCCACCAAGTTTCGCCAATATAGGTCTCTATTGCAGAACCAGCCAGTTACAACTCCCAATATCCTCAGTTGTGGAAGAGTACAAGGTTGCAAAGGAAAGATTGGTGGTGACCTTGAAAGAATCATCAGACGTCATGATCCGAGGGTAGGCATAAAAACATGTACAGGAACGACGGGATCAACGACGGAGGGAAGACAAGGACTTGATATGTCCAAACCACAACGCTGGAGATAAGATAAGGGAAACTGAAGAAGAGAAAGGACGAGTGTATGATCTGCTGTCATCTCCAACTAACTTCCACAGATGTGGTTTAGCTGATTACCTAAAATGCCAACTCTGTTACAAGCCATGTACCATGGAACATGTCCTGTCATCGTGCCAGACTTCACTGACACAGGGCCGATATAGGTGGGGCATGATAAGTCCTTAGGGAGTTAGCAGACACACTGGAGCGTGAGAAAAGGAAGAAAAGAACTAGAAAGTAAAGAGCACCCACCATGACCGACTTCGACTGGTTCGCCCATTCTCAGTATATGTGACCGGGTTGGGTGTCCTGTTGCGTGTCTTCGGCAGTATGTTTCAGTGAGGTAGCACTATAAAGTCGGCATCTATTCCGCGCTATCAGAAGGCGACAAACACGAACATATCTCAGCCTCCCAAAACACACACGCATACATTACACACATGCATCTTGCACACAGGGGAGACCGTCCTTAAATGTCCATAGCTGTTGATAGGACGTTAAACAATACTAAACCAAAGCAAACCAAACCAACTTCGTCAATGCAGGAGAGACAAGCATGACGCCAGCTTCAATCACCACTTCGATCCTAAATGAGTCCGATCAGTGGGAGATGAGGGTCGACTTAGGAGAGAAGATGGTCTTCCCAGAGATTGTCCAGACCACAACAGACCATACATTATTATATGATCTGATAAAGACAGGAAGCTGGTTACCACAGAACTCACTGTTCAATGGGAGCCGAGATGCGACAAGGCATATGGGCGGAAGGAGGCCAAGTATACCGAGCTTCTAGACCAGTGCAGAAGCTGCGGTTGGAAAACATGGCTTTTCCCGATTGAGATTGGTGCCAGAGGATTCCCCGCACAATCTGTGGAGAATGCTAAGTGCCATAGGGATCAAAGGAGGCAAGAGAAAGCGAGCTGTTGGGAGACTTGAGAAAGTATCAAACTGGCTGGTGGTCGAGAGGGAGGGGAAAAGCTGGCCTCAAGAGTTAACCACCACTGGACAGTAGTGCTTGACAAGCACTGCGGTTCCAGCGCCCGGAGAGTGTCAGATGCAGTGTAATTTATTTATTTGGCGAATTGTAAATTTAAAAGGTACATTTTTCTGTGTATGTCGTTACATCTATCAACTGTGGACCAAGGACATAACCTTGTAGCACACCTACAATTATATCAAAAGTAGACTAAGAACAGAACCTTGTTGCACTCACAACTAATTGGGTTAACGCTCATGCCCTCTGTTTCAACAGTTATTTAGACAGTCAGCAGAGAAAGTATTCAGTTGGAGGAGAGCTGGCAGCCTGATTAGCACTGCGGTTCCATCGCGCAGAAAGTGTCCTGGGATTAAAGGATGAAACACTTGTTGATTAGAGGCTCACAACTGATGAGTCTGTGGTGTTGAGAAGCACACGCTGTATACAAAACATTACCTTCCTGGGAAAACAGTGACTTCTAGAAAAGACAAGATGACAACCAAAAATAGATTGGTGACACTGGAAAGACAGGTGACAACCAGAAACAGACTGACCAGGGGCAAGAAGGGGTAGCATCCCTCATAAAGTTACCTAGCAGGGATCAATCACCCAAATTATCATAGATAATGCTCCAGAGAGCAAGTAATCAGGACAGCCACTGCCTAACACGCTCTCTGGAGGTCGTACAGAAATGACAGTAGCTATTTACAGTGTTTCTATGCCATAGCCAGCAACATCATAGTTCTCTGCCTCGCCATGATAATGGTAAGTCTGGTTTATTAAGGATCCCTCTCCCAAAAACTGTACCTAAACATTGGAGATATTAGTTTTGATAAATCAGTTCTAATATGTAAACAATACCTTGCAGAACTTGTATGGAAAAAATGCAGTGGGCAAGGATACTTAAGAGTCATTCTACGCTGTCAATAGTTATATGTAGCTATAAATAGAACTATGACACAGGAAACGTTAGTTTCAACATTTGATAAGTCATATTTCTAATTTGTTATCCATCTATATAATACATAAGTAAAATGTAAACTTTTCTTACTTTGAAAGAAAAGATTAATCAATATGGCTACAGGATACAATTAAACCTGTGTTAAGAACCCTGTATAATCTGAACTTTACTGATACTAGATGTGGTTTGATAAGGCAGGTCTCATTGTGTTTATTCTCACAAACAATGTATAATGGCATAAAACCATATATTCATTGACATTGCCACATGAAACAATTGATGGTTGCCCCAGCCTTAGTCACGTGCCATGTTCCATTTAGTGAACTGTTTCATTTGTGCTGCAACGGAACAGGCACCCCCCCTAAATGGAATGTGACATTCCACAAGAATTAACCGCTTTTTCAGGATTGCTTCATGTAAGAGTACCAAGCTTGATTTGATATGGTGGCCAGTGAAAAGTTTTCGTTTCAGATGTGTATAACAATTTAAACTCAGTCTAGACCCCCAGAACTTGTGAATCTGGATGGTAGCTGCATTGTTTTACATTTTGTACTAATGGTTGAGATTTATTCCCGAGAAATTGTTCCTTTTTCCCGTGAGATTATTAGATTGGCATGTGTAGGAATGTAAGGAATGCACTGTTACTTTTAACAGACCAATTCCAAGTTAGCACAACTGAAACAGTCCGCTATATGGAATGTATTACTAGTGAAGACTTACAGCATTGAATTGATTTGACATGAAATGCCTATACCATTTTCAATAAATAAATGCAATTTGAATGTTTTCTTACAGGGGATGTATTTTGTTTCTTCGGTCCTCCTCATCAGAATGAACATGCCAGCTCAATACAAGTGAGATAGATTTTCCCGCCTGCTAGTTAATAAATAAATAACATACAGCAGTATATTGTTTTTGGCTTGACATCCGTTTTAATCCATAAATATATTATGCCTGCGACATCAATAAAGAAGGACTTGGGTGTCACTTTTCAGGTAACAGTGTTAATGTTAAATTTTTGCAGTAAGCTCTGTTTCAACAAAGTATAAGTGCTAGTTTAGAACAAATCTTCATTGCAATTCATGCATCAGATACCGAGTGTTTCTCAAAGTGGTCCTTGTTACTCCAAGAGGTTATCCTCACTTCCCTCTCTGCACCCCTGGAGTATGTCAAAGCTTAATTGTAGGCATGTGGCTAGCTATGTGATAGGTCTCGGGTAAAATATACTAACCAATCGCTGGGCTGATACCTGTCCTTTGAAGATTACAGAAGAGCAACACATGACTTCAATGCCAGTCAGTTTTACCATTACGCGACTGCAAGATTCTTTTTCATGTACATTAACAAGTCAAACTAGTCTTTTAGTTTCATCTGCAAAATGTTCACACGTTTGAGGATGCACTCCAAATGAAGGAGCTTCCAATAACTAAGATGGTTTACAAACCATAGAAAATGAATGAGTGTGGATGAAAAAATAATTGATTTTGTGTTTCTAGGTCATTGTATGCAGTAGCACAATTTGAAGTTGAAGTCAATAATACTAGTACAGTTGATAACATATTTCTATTTGTGGAAAACTTTAAAAAGGAGGTTATTTTTACAGAAATGTAGCGAATTTCCTCAACTAAGATGGCTAAAAGTTGTTTGTCTGACTTTATGTTACAGGTCAATTATTACAGAGGTGCTGGGAGATCTCCAGTTTAATTTTTATCATCGCTGGTTCGATGTCATCTTCCTTGTCAGTGCGCTTTCCAGTATAGGATTTCTGTACATAGCTCACAAACAGGCACCAGAGAAGGACATATTGTAACGTGAGGCTGTGTTCTATAGAATGTACAATTACATCAACCTCAGACAGGCATCCAGACATTGTCACATGTGTCTGTGTTGTATACAATTAATAAACGACACATACCCAAACAGAGAAAGACATATTGTAACGTGAGGCTGTGTTCTATAGAATGTACATGTACATCAACCTCAGACAGGCATCCAGACATTGTCACATGTGTCTGTGCTGTATACAATTGATAAACGACACATACCCAAACAGAGAAGGACATGTTGTGTGCTGTGATGCTAAGGGGATAAATGTACCCGCAAACATACATCAACCTCAGAGACAGGCATCTAGACATTGTTACATGTGTCTGTGTTTTATACAATTAATAATACAATACACACACCTTAACAGGAACAAGTGAAGGACATGATGTGCACTGTGATGCTAAGGTGGTAGATCATACATCATAGAAAGATTAACAGAATCTCTCAACCCCTTTGGGTGAGATAGGGAAATCCTTAAGTTGTTTTGCTGAGTTTTTGATAACTTTAGAATATTTTCCGGAGGGTTGAAATTCCCAATCTCACCTCAAGGGGGGTGAATGATTCATTTTTTAGCTCACCTGCCCGAATGGCAAGTGAGCTATGCCATGGTGCAGCGTCCATCGTCCGTTGTTGTGTTGTTAGCTCACCTGCCCGAAGGGCAAGTGAGCTTATGTTATGGTGCGGCATCCGTCGTCCGTCCGTCCGTCCGTCCGTCTGTCCGGCGTCAACATTTTGCTTTAAAAAACTCAATAACCAAATGGCCCAGGGTACTGATATTGGGCCTGTGGCATGCCGGGATGAAAGGCTACGAAGTTTGTTCAAATGAATGTCCTTGACCCACTTTCAAGGTCTCTGGTGTCAGATGTCTTTAAAATCTTCAAACAACTGCTTCTCAATAACCAAAAGGCCGAGGGTACTGATATTGTGCCTGTAGCATGCTGGGATGAAAGGCTACGAAGTTTGTTCAAATGAATGACCTTGACCAAATTTCAAGGTCACAGGGTCAAATGTCTTTAAAATCTTCAAACAGCTTCTTCTCAATAACCAAAAGGCCGAGGGTACTGATATTGGACCTGTAGCATGCTGGGATGAAGGGCTACCAGGCTTATTCAAATGAATGTCCTTGACCCACTTTTAAGGTCACAGGGGTCAAATGTTGTAAAATCTTCAAGCGCCCCTTTTTAATAAGCAAAAGGGCCAGGGTACTGATATTTGGCCTTTAGCATGCTGGGATGAAAGGCTACGAAGTTTGTTCAAATGAATGTCCTTGACCCACTTTCAAGGTCTCTGGTGTCAGATGTCTTTAAAATCTTCAAACAGCTTCTTCTCAATAACTAAATGGCCCAGGGTACTGATATTTGGCCTTTAGCATGCTGGGATGAAAGGCTACCAAGTTTGTTCAACTGAATGACCTTGAACAACTTTCAAGGTCACAGGGTCAAATGTCGTAAAACCTAAAAGCGCCCCTTTTTAATAAGCAAAAGGGCCAGGGTACTGATATTTGGCCTTTAGCATGCTGGGATGAAGGACTACCATGTTAGTTCAAATGAATGACCTTGACCAACTTTCAAGGTTACAGGGTCAAATGTCTTTAAAATCTTCAAACAACTTCTTCTCAATAACCAAAAAGTCCAGGGTACTGATATTGGGCCTGTAGCATGCTGGGATGAAAGGCTACCAAGTTTGTTCAACTGAATGACCTTGAACAACTTTCAAGGTCACAGGGTCAAATGTCGTAAAATCTTCAAGCGCCCCTTTTTAATAAGCAAAAGGGCCAGGGTACTGAAATTGGGCCTGTAGCCTGCTGGGATGAAGGACTACCATGTTAGTTCAAATGAATGACCTTGATCCACTTTCAACCTAATGTCCTTGTTCAACAATCAAGGTCAGAGGCGTCATATGTTTAAATCTTTTAATAGGTTCTTATGAAAGATTATGAAGATTACAAGTGTTAGATTAATAACAGGTGAGCGATGCAGGCCCATTGGGCCTCTTGTTGTGTTAAACATGTCTACATTAATACATTTAACTTTATTTATTTCACGAAAGCTTTGCCTTTAACAAATTGTCAGAAGATTCATATGAATAAAGGAATTTTGTGATTAATAATTTTTGTATGATTATTACCATATAACGTAACTTTCAAGTAACATTGAAAGGTTTCTACCTGCAATGGCTCAGGGTCAAATTTCATAGAGGGTATGTGTGGCATGTGGGATTTCCAACATATTAACTTTTTTTTGCAGTGTGCACTCTTCATACTGAGTTAATAATTGATATTCTTTGAACGCCCCCACCCCCTCTCTTACAACTACGCGACCTTCATTTTGACCTTTGACTTCCACACTCTTATGTAAAGCTGAACTATATTGGGGCATGGTAGCACAATTTGAAATGTTTGAGATATTTTGTGTACATCAAATGTGTAGAATATTAATAAATATTGGCTTGTGACTTTAAAGCACTTTTACTTCATGGAGCACCTATGCTGCTTGTCAGTCCATGGGCTGGACACACAGAATGTGTGACCAAAATGTTAAGCCTAAGGTTAAACAAGCCCTCTTAAAGATGGTTTAGTCACCCTAAATTGAAACCTCGCTAGTTAAAGAGAAATTCATCTTCCCATGACCTACGTATGTAAGTGAACTTAGATATGTCTTTTAGTAGCATTCAGTTGTTGGCAAAGCAGTTGACATGTTATTATGCGTAAAACTATTTTTATAGAGACATTGGCCTTATTGACTTATTATAGATTAACTTTGCAAAGTGATTTTTTTTTTAAATTTTAAGTTCAAAATATTGAAAGTACATACCTAAATTCAATTTTTATTGCGTTTTTAGATATGACTTGTCAAGGAGGTGACAATAAGATTGATCTAACATCTTCTAGAGGACTCGTTTGAAATTTAAACAATTGTTTGGTATACCATAACAGGTTGGTTTGTATGCTATTTGTCATATGTCACGCCTCATATATACACTGGTGTCTTCACGTCCCTTTTGATATGCCGTATTGCTAAGCATAAGGAGTAACCCATTAACGTCTGATGTACAAGTCGTATACATGACTACATGTACTAGACATCTTCTTACATCATCCTTTCATTGATTGGTTCAACCCAGGATCGATTTGACTCGTAATGTTCCTCGTATGAATTGAATCATTAAACACAAGGTGTAAAATATATAAATGTACTTTATTTACAAATCCAACACAATGACATGGATACAACATATTTAGCTGCCCAAAGAATATTTAACTCGCACCTACTGCTGCAGTTTTGTATCCCGATCTTACCAAATGTCCAAACTGTGCTGTGTTCTAATTTTCAAAAGTAAATATGGACCCATAAAAGAATATTTCAACCTCTTTTTCATTGTAAAAGGGATTTAAAAAAAAAATATCAAAAAATATATGCTACGGTTTCTAAAAGATGAGTTTCCTATGTAAGGTTTTTGTAGTTTCAATTATTAGAGAAATTACGAAGACATATTAATTCAAAGAAAAATACAAAATCATAGTTATCGAAAATGTACTCGACTCGTGATTTCTGGCGTAGTGCACCTTTGATCTGATTGTGCCACAAGTTGTGGTCACGTGACACACAATGAGAAAGGCACTAGAAAGTCCACTTTCTTTTTTCAGTGTTATGGAAAATGTTCACCAAATATGTCTATTTTCAGACTTTTGGCGCTCTTTCCCATACTGTCTATTTTCTTAGCAATTGCCTCCATAGTAACACCTTGCTCAATCATTTTGTCGTGTGGAATATCGCTATTTTCTGAGAATGCCTGTTCCGGGAATCCTCTCACCAACATCAAAGTGCAGATCGGTTCTTCGTCATCGTTTCTCATAACGATTCCAGGTGACCCGGATGCTCCATGCTGGACCCAACAGTCAAACAGAACTTTCCTTTTGTCCCGAATTCCCTCATACCCAGAGTTTTCTTTGTCATCTTTCATCATATATCCACGTCGATTGCTATTTTCATCAGCGTCCAGATCAAAAAGTTCAATATTAGAATCAAATTGCATTATTTCACTATTCGGTTTTGCCGGGTGACCAAGCAATGCAAATAATTGACTGTTGTCTGGTTTCCTAAACTTTGCTAATGGTTTTGGGATTTCAAAAGATGCCGGTTTCAATTCTAATAATGCAAAATCAAGGTCCTGGTCACCTGCTATCAACTCTGGTTCAAAGTAAAATTTGTGACTGGCGCTGTTTTTGGGGAAATGGAACTCGATCCAAACTTGTTCGGAATCAAGCTTTGACCAGTCGACCTCGTCAGATTTGTTTTGTTCTGTAACGAAATATAATTTTATTGATGTGTATGTGTAAGATATATATATTTATATAAAATGTTTGGTAAACACACTTAAGTATTTACATAAATATACAAATAATAACATTTTTATATGCAATCATACCAGGAAATAGTAGAAAATGTCGGAATTGCGTTGAGTATCCCATTCAAAATGGCGCTCAGACTTGGCCCTTTTTAATGCATTGCATTTTTCATGTTTTATGCTTTAAAAATGTAATAAATAGAAAATTTAATGGTGTCTTCAGTAATAACAAATATATTTCACTCGTGTTGCTAATATTTTGATATTTTTCACTCGTATTGCGCACTCGTGAAAAAATATCAATATATTAGCCACACTCGTGAAATATATTTGTTATTACTGCACACTCGTGAAAAATATCAAAATATTAGCCACACTCGTGAAATATTTTTGTTATTACTGAAGACACCATTAAATATCCTCTCTCTCTATATATAAGAATATTTTTAGCAAATCATCATCAGATGGTGGGCTATTAACATCACCGTTCATCTTTGGTCCGTCTATCTGTCCTTTCTTGTTATCGCTATTTCTCAAAAAGTGCTTGAGGGATCTTTCTCAAATTTCACAATAAGGTTCTCCCTGGACCTTAGACGTGAATATCGAATATAAGGAAAGATTGAAAACTTCATCTTAAAATTTGAAGGTTGAAGTTTGTTAACGCTATTCCTCAGAAAGCATCTGCGAGATCTTTGCCAAATTTCAAATAAAGGTTCCCAATGATCCCTAGTTACGCATATTATATTGTGAAACAGATTTGAAATCCAAGATGGCCAACGGAGAGCTAAGTATGAAGCTAAGATCAAAATTTACTTTAGATGTATTTATTGTTTACATGACTCATTCCAACAGATAAAAAATTGAAAGAAGAGAAAAGATCAGGCTTACATAGAACCTATAAAGATGGTTTGATGATGGGCGCGTAGATCTTCCTTGGATCTGATATATGTTTGCAAACATTTATTTATAACATATTTGATGTTTTGAACATAAGCAATTTTGCAAATATTTCCATATATTGAGTCTCCTTGACTTTCAAATGTTCCCGACTGCACGATTAAGATTACTTAATCTGTACTAAAGGACCCATTGAAAATAAACAATTCTGGTTTCCTTTATTGAGCCCTGTCCTACTGCACTTTTGGGAACCAGACACTTGATCTTGGTCGGTATTAACCAATATATTTGGCCTCGGCCATATGTCATTAATAAGGGCCCAGCCCACTGTTTACAACGATTGATTTGATTTTCGCAAGAATGCTTCAGACAATTTTTCAAGCATTTTGTGTCAGCTTGTATAAATGAAGAGAAAGTGCAACCAGACCCAAAACAAAAGATGTTTCTTTAACATGCTAGTTACAAGGAAACATCAGATGAACAAAATAAAAAAAAATCAACTTTCATATCCGCAATCTTACAAACCATGTGTATGGTTTGTGAATTTGAAGGTGGGCAATGGATATTCATTTAAACAAATTTAAAAGCCCTTTATCCAAGAATGCTACTGGCTAAATATGATAACCCTCCGCTTCCAGTATTGATATTTTTTCATATTCAACACCTGACCCATGTGACGTTGAAAGCAGGTCAAGGTCATTTCTTTGATGCAACTTTATACTTCTCTATCCCAGCATGCTATCGGCCAACTATCATCACCCTGACACTCTTCGTTATTAGGAGGAATTGTTTATTTTTTTTTTACACATTTGACTTCTGTGACCTTTAAAGTTGGTCAAGGCAATAACCTGCAGGAAATATTACACTATACTACCCTACAATGTCAAATATAAAAATATACCAAGGGCCTCCTGGTTTTGCATACAAATTTGTTTCAAGGTTTCTATATATTTGAACCCTGTTACCTTGGAAGTAGGTCAAGGTCATTTATTTGAAAATGCTTTATAGCACTCCATGCAAGGTACAAACTGATCAACTATCAACACACTGGGCCTCCTGGTTATTCAGGAGTTGTTGAAACGTTTTATATATTTGATTCCTGTGACCTTGAAAGTAATTCAAGGCCATATATTTCAGGCAAAAAATAAAGCACGCATCACAGAATGCTACTGTCTTATTACCACTATCACTTTAGTAAAACTTTGGTTTAAGCTTATGAAGTATTCAACAAAATTCAAACTTTGCGATACGTTTTACAGAACTATGGTAGTTCGAAGTTTGATTATTGAAAATGGAAATAAAAAGAAAACTGCAGGACCTTTACAATTGTTGCCATCAAGGAACTATAAATTGAAATTCCTCAAAATAAGTTGCCAATATATGGGCCACAAAAGCTACGAATAGCTTGACAAGGGAAATTGTTTTAAGCCTGAAAAGCTCGAAGTAGAATCATCTTTCATACTAACTTACTTGTTATGTCTGCAGCGACATGGTAGGCGGTGAGAATGTACTTGGTACCAACTCTTATCCCTGTTCCGGTGGAAAGTGACCCTCTGATGCGTCCAACAGCGTGTCTTGCACGCGTCCACACGTCAATTATTCTTGCGTCGTGGGTATTGTCCATCTGTTTTCTAAACTGATAACGACGGTCTTCTTCATCAACTATAGAGAGAAAATGTCAGAAGTCATATTACAGCTGATCATTCTGTAGGTGTTGGTATTTAATCTATATATAAGTAGTGAACAGGTCATTTTCAGTGTTCATACCGTCATGAAAATTGAAAAAGTAGAGTTCAATACATTTATTTACATTATATATTTATAGTTAGATGTAATGCAAAATGTTTGGTTCTTACGGTTGTGTCACGTTGTTAGAGGCAGGAGGAGAAATCGCAAAATGACGCTGATTGAATTGCGTTCATAGCCCCATATTATATTAATATATACATTGTGATACATGAATAATACGAAATTTGACATGCTTTGTTGCACGTCTGCCTGGTTACCGATATTGCACAAAGTCCAGCTCCACTCTAATACTAAAGCATTATACATAGCAATATAATAACTAGATCGATAGTATAGTATTGAATTGAAGTGCATGATTCTTTCAGGTTAAATAGAAAATAAAACAATACAGTTGGTTCTTTACTTTGAGTAACATAACACTGTTGATAATTGAATATTTTTATTTATGTTTAAGAACGAAAAAGATGATAAGGTCGAATTTTCGGTAAGGTGGAATTTAGTGACCCCGCGGTAAAGGGATTATCAGATGGAAGGGGACTAATACCATGATTCGGCTGATAACACATAGTTGTGTTCTGGTTGTGTTTTGTGATAGATATGATCTTACATTTGTGTCCATATATTGAACTTATTAACTCATTCAATAATTTGATATGACATTGGCACTAATGTAAGATCCTTTATGTATGGCAGAAACCTCATGTATTAATAAGGTGAAATATACCACTAGAGTGTAATGAACCGTAATCTTCTAGAAACAGTTATAGTTAGGGCCATTCAGTGTCTCCTGGTCAAGTAACTCCTTTAAGAATAAAATGTACGTAAATTATTTGGAGCACTCCTCCATTTGAAGAAAATTCTGGCATTCTGTCCTGGCATAATTGTTTTTGTACTTTGTTAAAATTACAAAAAACATACTTACCTTTGATCCGTTTCTCATTGCTAGGCTTGGATTCATCTCCCTGATCCCGGTCACCACTGGGTCCCTGTTTTCCTGCAGACGTAGATCAGGCATAGTATTAATACGACTTCCTTCATAAATATTTTTTGTGAATAGAACAAATAAAAGCACTAGGACTGTGTTCACACCCGTCAAAACATTGGTTAATTAAACTAAAACGCTACGATTACCCCCAGAATAATGCTACATCATTAAACATTTTATATATAGTACGCACCTAAATTTTGAAAACTGTCCCCTATTAAATCTAAGAAATCAGTGTAATGCTATATATATTTAGTGATGTTGAATATGCAGACAAATAAGGCTGACGGTTCCATTGTTACATAATTCCATCTCAAAATAGAACAATGTATCATACATTGTACTTTCTTCATATTTCTAGTTATTATGTTATGTAATAAGCTTTTTGACACTGCTGGTGGACTGTCGGATCACGAGGATGATCGTAGCCTTGATTTATTCTGGTTTGGTTTACATAAAATATTATTTGAATGGTATTTATCTGTTACATTTTCACGGTTTTATAAGTTGCCTGCCCTTTTCGTTGTATTATACATACGATTCAGAACACTTTAGATTTGACAAGTGGTAAGCGCAGATAAGTCCAGTACACAGAATTCGTTCCGTACAGACACTATCAATGTGAATCGTTAGGGATTAGAGGAATTTTACTGCTATATTGTGACCTTAACTGAGGTGTTCAGAGTAATATCTACACATTCAAGGGGTTAAGTTCAACTTTAACTTTAAAAAAAAAGCCATCCCAATGATTTATACGGGAATGGATGAAAGCTCTTGATGTCGAATGATTGACTCCACGTGCAAAACCTCACACCACAAATACATTTCTAGTTGATGTACAACATATGCCTGATAGCGTTTAACAGATGGATAAGGTTTCTTTTAAAACGTAAAATGTATTCCCCTTCAACTGAAATTATCTACGTGTCCTCCGAAAACACACGCAATATATTGTTTTTACATTTTTAGCTCACCTGGCCCGAAGTAAAAATTTCAAATTTCAAACAACAATATCTTTAAAAGCGTTTAAGAGATGTTAAAATGTCTTGTGTTCTAGTTACCTAATTTGGTCTGAAGTTACCTATATGTCAGTTTCATGTAACAAAAGAAACAGGTGAACGATACAGGCCCTCTGGGCCTCTTGTTTGCAGTCATAGAGCCACCTTTTTGGAAAACGTCTGTATGACTGCGAACAAAATTGATTGATCAAAACAGCATGTGGTGAAACGGAAGTCATGTACATCGAAGAATAATAATTTTGCATGCATATATAAGTTTTCTAAAAGAGAAAACAAAATCTGGAACACTTGGAGTAAACCCATTAACCGTGTTACTTTACTCTGAACAACCAAGATTAGGTGCAAATATAGCTGTTAAAAATCTCAGGTTCAGGTGGTATAAACTTACTCTTTCTGTCCGCACTATTTCTCCCACTGAACATCGGCTGTGGCTCGTCGTTATTTTCTCTACCTGGATGGCAGAAAAGGATAGTACGAGTTGGTTTCGAACTATATGAACAAATTTAACGCACAGAAACTGAATAGTTCCATTCTCACCTTTACTATAGATGCACACTTTTGATAGAGACAGCTTACGTCTTATTGGTTGATATATAGCATTGCTGATATAACGTTAGGTGTAAACATTGGAGACAGTTTACCAGTAATTAGTTGATTTATACCAGTGATGAAATTTATGAAGACTTACCCTTACCTTCGTTTTCCTGATTGATCAATTTCGTGTACGTGTCAATTATATGACCTGCTTCCACATGTTGTGTACAGAGAACGTCCCTTAACGTTTTGTATCTACCGTAGTGGATTATGCCATTAGCCTTTAAGCACTTGCATAAATCAAACATGCATTTTACATGACCCATATCGGCTGTTGTGATGTGACCCAACGTTTCAAATTGACTGCGAATCGAGTGCCACTGGCTGGAATTAGTTGCAAACAATCCCCCAAGCTTCGTTACCATGTTGGTATGATGTTGAGCAACCTTTTCGCTTGAGTCCGTTTTGTCAGCCATACTGATTGTATAAAACTGCCAAAAAAATAAAAAAAATATATACAGAATATATAGTCAACACTTAGATTATTACTTAGCTAAATCTATAAGTTAATTAGATACTATAGCTAACTGTGGTTATGATTAATACAAATCACATCTAAAAATATTCTTTAATCGAATAAAATATAAACGGAAGGTTACAATTAAATATTATGATGCCACATACCTTAGAGAATTTCACTAGCCGACGGTTTAGATAAAAAAAAAGTACAATGGGAATTATCCATTATCCAATTGTATTTATCTATATATAGTTCAAAAATGTTAACCATTTATAGTTTGTGGTCTTTTAATATTGTATCCTTCTTAAACACTCTCATGGTATAGTCATGCTAGACAATATAATAGAATTGTTATTGTCTTTGCTATCAATATATAATATAACTATTACTTTCACACAATTTATGGTATAGGGAATATTGTATGTTAATAGATTACAAAAAAATATAATCTGACATTCCCGGTTGTTTTCCAATAACTTTCTGACTTTAGTTTTATACTAGTATTTCACATGCAAACCAACATGTTGTTTCTCAATACCAAACGACAATGTAAGTCATTACAATATATAAAACAATATATAAACATTGC